AAGATACCTCTGGGGATGAAAGAACACTAAAAGAGCGCTTAAAACAGTTTCAAAGACAGCGACATTGGCTATTGTGGCACGACCACAGTACCCTAGCTAACCATGGATTCATGCTGTTCTGTCTTCGCGAGCTATATGATCCTGCCATTCATTTTACAGATACAGAAATGCTCCAGAAAACTGGTGAATCAATTGATGTCCAAGCCACAATAGAGGAACCACTTATTTATATACTTGGACCTAGCAGCTCCTCAATTGAAGATCAAATGAAGTTTATTCCTACTCGACAAGAAGATTTACAGGACCTGGCAAACAAAATCATGACTGACACTGGTGTTCCAATAACTGACATTATGCGTTTCATGAATGGAGATAACCCGGCTGTTGAATTTGAAGATGGTACACAACATGGAGGGCACTAYCCRTGTGTTGGATGTGATGGCAATATTAACTCATYCTATGACTTAGAATATATTTTTMAGCGGAAATATAAGTCATTAGAAGAAAAGAGTGAATTCATTAAAGTAGGCAAGTTAGGCAAAGGCAACACACTGCACCCATTTAAAGACCTGAAGGTAGCAAGCTTACGAGAAGAATTAGCAGCCAGAGGATTAAAGCATGAAGGTAAATCAAAAGATGAATTACAAAAACATCTAGCTGAACATCTTGGTGGAACAACAAGAATGCCTCCATTACTACAGTCAGGACTAACAACCAAAGAACTCAACATCGACAATTATGAAGTATTATTTTTTGAAGCACTGCACTGCTCTATGAATCATGTAAAGAACATATTGAAAGAACTAGAACATCACATAACTGACATTGACACACTTATTAAACTCAAAGAAATATTGTCTGTACAGCTTAACAAAGAAAAACTCAGAGGGGTTGATTACAGGAAAACACTTATTTATGTCACAATCGCCTTGTATAAAGTAGCARGCCGAGAGTTGAAGATACTTCTCCTTACTCTATGTGAAATGGTAGAGATTTTCTACATGCAAGACAGCAAGCGAACTCCCAAGATGATTTTAAGGCTACACAACCTTTGTGTAAGACATGCAATCCAATGCAGACGATTTCTAACACCTCCCAAGTCCCTGACATACAGAAAGCTCTTTGGAATTTACTTCCACTCCTGTGTCATGCATTCTGCCTTATTACTAAGACTGGTATCACATCGATCAACTAATGCYGAGATGTTTGAACGTTTGTTCCAGAAGTTGTCTGACATAACATCTAAGACATGGAGCAGGAGAATTGAAGACCTCTCATCAAATGCCATTCTTCATGCCCAAGTAGAGAGGGAATGCAAAGAGACAGATGTCATACAAAGACAAGAAAAAGAAATTTCAAAGATAGCAGCCTCACTGCCAAAGATGGGAAATACAGTCATACCCAAGACCTACATAGAGGAGTATGCTGGAGATTGGAATGCACACCTAAKAACAATCTCTGATTTTATATTGCCCGGAGAAGGTGTGTGGTGGAGTGAAACAGATGATGGTTGCATTGAATTTTTTGATGGTCCTKATGAACCATCATACAAGGAAGCAGGACCACAATTGCATCATTTCAGATCATCAAACATCACCAAAGAGCAAAATTATCTGATGAGCTGCTGGCAAAAATGTGAGACATCAAAAGTTAAACTACCGACGACAAAAATCAAAGTCCAGAAAAAGTTTCAAAGAACAGASTCCTGCTGCAAACTTGATGAGCACACACAACACAGCTGTGATGATGCCAGAAATGCCAATACAGATCAAATTGAGCAAAKCATAGATGATGAAGAAAATAATCTACCCACAGATGATTTTGATCAATGCAATGACATGTATGATAATGATGACTTTGATATGACAGACTTTCAACAGCAAGAAGATMATCTTGAACTATGTGAAGAAATGATACTAGATGATTTTCACGAGGTACCTCAAGAAACTCAACAACAGGAAGACTCAACAACAGAAAGTRTTAATTGTACATCTCAAAATATTGGTACAAAAAGACCTCATAGTTCTGAAACAGAGTCTGCTCAACCCCCTTCCAAAAAAACAAGACAAGAAAGTGAGACAGAATTGACATCTAAGACTGCAAAGGCAGTTCAAAAAGTGCTAGGGTCCTGTCCTGAAGTTGTTAAATTTGATAAAGTTAAGCAGTCCTTGACAGCAAACCCCACATCTAGATACAATCAAGAGAGATACGAGATACAATTGTCCCAAATACAGGTTTTGACTTTGAAAGCTTACAAGAAACTAAGTACTGAGCTACAAGAACACTATGAAGATAAATTAAGCAAGCAACTGAAAATAGCATCAGAATTACTGAAATCATGGAAAATAACAGTTCACCTAACTTAAGTAAATCAAATAAGAATGATCAAGATTATTTTCAAATTGGAATTTATAGCTACCTGTGCACAGTATATGCTAGCTGTACAAAAGTCAACCAGTGAGTGATCTTTTTAATTAATGTATAGTCATCAAGCTTACTACTCAATAATGAAATCCATTACTATGAAAATGAAAGTAAAATAATGCAAATTTCAGGATCTATAAAAATATTTTTGTCATTATTTGATTTTGTTATTTTCATAGCAACTTATTTCATTATTTGAATAATAAATCTGGAATATTAAGGGGTAAGCTTGAGGAGTTTTGACAGTAACTGATTATYTAAAAATCATATGCCATCATATACAGTTTAACTACTCAATATTGTATGAAAAAACAATGTGTTACATATATTTAGTAAATATTGTACTACTTACAATTTCCAATTTCTTGAGTCAATTATAACTCAATCACCAGTAACCATGCAGCCAATGTAAAGCAAATTCTTGAGGACTTGACAATATTTTTTCTTTYAAAAGATAATATGATGCAAAAAAGTTAGATCTATCTTAAATCTATGTACTACACATTATAATATTTTCTTAAAATTTATACAATTTTACATCTATAGTTCACAATTTGTAGTGTAGGAGCTAACCATATGTGTATGCATGTTTCCATTATTAATAGTTCATTATTTTAATATAAAAAGAATGAGTGTAGTTATTGACTAAGTATACATGTACATAAATATTTAACAAAATAGGGAATTTACAAGTCTTGCAGTGTTACCCAAATGTGTATATATATTTAAAAGATTACAAGACTGTACATATTATAATACAATATTTTGAGTTTTAATTACATGTATGTATTTAGACAGCTATAGCCATGCACAAATTTATAATTTTAATATTATTTAATTAAATCCAAAAACTTAGAATTTTCCAAAAAGTAAAGAATGATATATATTTGGTGAAAAATAAAGGCAGTTCAACATGAATATAACTTTATTAGGTTAACCTATTATCATTATTAGGTAAACACAATTTTGAATTTGAGAATCACTCAAAAATAAACCTTTACCAAATTCTCCTTAGTGCCGTGTGAAGAAAAATACCTTGGTCAATTAGGAGAATTTATCATTTCATCCATTCCAGAAAATTTATTTGATTCCCTTATAATTCCAACTAGCTATGGTTACATCCATATAGATAAAACAATGAAAGTTTTAAAAGAATAATAAACTTCAATATCAGTTTATTAACCCCAAATATATAAATTAACTCCGTAAATTCACYTCGCAACCCGTTGTCATCTAGTCTGTCCTAAGTTTTTTTGCCTTAAATTAGCCATCCAAACCAAAAAAGCATAAATTTTAAAACACCTACCTTTAGTTTTATTGATGAGAAGCCTTTTCGCTAGACATTCCATCATTGTTCCCCAAAAATATACCAGTATCTTAYGATTCTTCACACCGTATTGTCGACACTAGAGCCGCCATGTTGGATCAGCTCGCTAATGCATGCAAAAAAACGCCGCAGGGGGGATTTATGGTTTCCAACCCAAGCCTTAATCTACCCGAGACCCTGTATTTGGCCTTGTTTATACAGATTGTGCACAGAAAGATATATGAGCTAATTTGATGAGCCTTGATGAATGCTTTATCTGTTATTGTTGTTTGTTCCTGTTCTTAATTTAGAAGTTGCAAATTATGATTTAGTTGTAATGATATTTGATTAGAGTGGGCATACTCCATCCATGAAACACATAGTACTGATTACAGCTAAAATAGTGCTGATTAGATTTTTGAAGAATAAAAGAATATTGTTTTTAGTAATACTTGTCTATTTCATTATCCATTATCTGTAATTCATGAAGTATTATAAGAAATCATAACCTTTTTGACACATGCACAATAATAGTGTTGAGGCTGGTGCCATTCTGATTAAGGCATTAACTTATAAACAGATTTTTAAATCATGGGAATTATTCAGTGTTGCAAGGCCTTGATGTCACATTTGTGAACAGTAACCTTTAAATTGTAAATCATGTGACAGTATATACCTATTTTCAAAAAAGCTGCAAGATAAAATGGCAATTGTCACATGGTGATTGCATGGTTAAAAGCAGTCATTTCTATGAAATAATGATAAGATAGTATGTGGTTAACCTTAACCTCTTTTTAGTGTTCATTTTCGTGCAATTTCAAGAAGCTCAAATTTGTGTGTCGAACAGCTTTTAAGTGGTTGTAACCTTTTGGTTATGCAATCTCCTCTGACAACCATTTTTGAAATGGGCATGTTTTCCTTTTGCTAACATAACCTAATGTTTCATTTACAGTCAACTTGATCTTGACACCCTTTATATGAGAACCTCAGTGACTTATAATTCTTTTTCTGGTCTAGTGCTTTTTAATCAACTGGTTGAATCTTGCAAGTGGGTTTTTACTGAATTGTTTCCTTTATGGAGGGGACTGGGAAGGAGGGGTTCGACCTTGTTTTACAGTTGTTTCTCAATCGTTCCTTATAAAATAATGTAACTTAACAACCATTAACTGCAATGTGCAACAACTCTTCATACATCTGTAATGCTTCTCTCCAGTGTTCAGGTTTCTTCTTATTGAGACTGTGAAGAACATAACGAAAATATTCTTGGTATTCATCATCTTCGTCCTGTTGTACAAGATGAGTGTAAGCATAACTCATATCATGTTGTGAAACTGGTACAAGTAAATTATCAATACCCCCGTAACTTTCAGGAAGGTGGAAAATTGCATCAGGTCTTCCTGCTACAGTATCATGGCGGGATTTCCTTATATAGTGAGTATTCCATGAATCACCCACTCTTTTCAGATCGTTTTGAAGTAGTTCAGCAAAACAAAACCAAAGACACTCTAAATGAAGCTTGTCTGCTGTGTTGAGTACTGCTTTCTCTATCATGTCTTTGAAAAGATTCATCCACCATGTTGACCAATTTTTTCTAAGAAAGCTCCACCAGCATTCAATTCTTTGATTTCGTGGAGATACAACATATCTATGAGAGTTGGGATCATCCAAAAAAAAAAGAATGTATACCGGCCATAGTACCATTCTCAGTTCCAAGGTCTGTGTCTAGTTCTCTGGGACAGCCACCAAGTTGTTTGACGGCGTCCAGATAATAGGAAGCAATGTTGTCAGAATAATTATTAGATCGAGTTACATACAACCAAATGACTTTGCGACTGAAACCATCGATACACGCATGCATCGGAAAACCGTATGGCTTAAGTTTATCGTAGCCATCAGCATGCCAAGTACTATTTGGCCCTAAGCTACGATAAACTCTTCTTTTCAGCTTATGGGCCTTTCTCAATTCAACTCCATTTGGGTCGATTTCTTTCAGCATTTCTTGAACAACTACACGTGGTACCAGTATACCCTTCATTCGAAGATTATGCCAAACTGACCAATATCCAACAATCGAATTTGGTCCATCCAAAAGTTCTKTAATAGCAGATCTAACGGTATTTGGATCATACTCAAGATATCTTCTTGACATCCCCCAATCTTTAAGACGTCTTTTCAGCGTTCTGACGCTGATATTTATCCCATGACACTTCGACAGTAGTCCAACAATGTCWTCATAACTATGCCCAAGGTGAAATAATTGTGTTATGATGGTTCTTTCCTGATCTTCGCTTTCGCWGTCCGCCATTTTGAATTTGCAAATGGAGGAAGACTGGGACTTTAGCGCAACCATGAGCCCAGAATCTTTTGTCAGCGGTCTACTGTGTATTTCACTTCCGCCGTGAAATTCACTTCCGCCGTGGCAATTTACTTTTGTTTGTTCTGCCGTGAGTTCTGCGGTGGAGCTGCTTTCTTTTGCCGTGAGTCTGCTTTGTTCTGCCGTAATTTTTTGTTTTATGCCGTGGCTTTTTTTAATTTGCCGTGACCCTTGTGGGCCAGGTCGTAGTTGTGTTCTGCCGTGTTCGTTGTGTTCTGCCGTGAGTTCGTTGTATTCTGCCGTGGGATTGCTTTCTTTGCCGTGAGATGCTTTGTTCTGCCGCGAGTTTGATTTATTTTGCCGTGAGATCGCTTTCTTTTGCCGTG